TATGTCCCCTGACCTGAACCCACTCAATTACCTAGTTCGGGCGGACTTCAAGAGGGTGGTCTACGGTGGCGGAGAAATCGACTACCCCGCTGATCTCAGGTACCACATCGCGGTCGCGTGCCAGAATCTCTCGATGGCGTTCGTCCAGAAGGCTGTGGCGGAGTGTCGTGATAGTACTTAATATGCTCTTCAATATGGTAGTAAAAATGTCCGATCAGAATTTGATAAAGTGTAATTTATAGCGCCTCGAAAGTCAATGAGGCAAAGTGACTTTTTTTGGCCCCCCTGTATAGCCGAAAAGGTTGAACAACTGAGAGAATCGTTTTTCCCCAACGGGTTGACTTCCTCTCAGAGCCACATACGACCCCCCCCCTTTCGAAGGCACCGAACACGCCCTCCGCTCTCCCCGTCGGCCAAGTGGCGATCCCCTGTGTTTCCACACAAACAATGTGGATGGTGTTGTACAAATTAGATTACCCCTTGCGTCTGCTACCGAAGCAAAATAAGGCCACCCATTTTCCACCTTGTTTCAGCGATATAAAACCTCAAAACTATGCTATCGGACTTGGTCCGAAGGAGACAACAATTTACATGCTTGATTTCGGCATTGCAAGAAAGTTCACCGAAGGAGAAACTAAAGTAGTGAAGTATGTTCTGCAGTCCGTGAGTAATGCCGATCCGATTCCTCGAAGACGTTCGATTCTTGTTCAGATTACCACGTATCAAAGTGCATTTCCTCGGTACGCTGAGATTCGCATCGCGAGCATGTCATAAGCAAATTGAGCAAGGACGTAAAGACGATCTCGAATGTTGGCTGTACATGGTTTGGATTAAAAAACTTTCTAAGGATTAATTCTAGCAGTTTTGAATGACTCAGTATAATGCTCACCATCAGCATTACAACACGAGCAGAGCAGTACTACCATCATTGTACTAGGAGAGACCCGAAAATATGCTGAGTTTCCTCCTCAAAGCTCAAGTTCATAAGCATGGAAAATGTAATGTTGAAAGCACGCTCCGCGCCCTTCTTATGTTCAGACCATTCACCTTCACTGGACAAGGCGGTCCTGTCCACAAGCATGGAGAATGTACTACCTTCGAAGCTCAAAGTACGTTAGTAAAGCGCGGCACGCTCACGACGAGGACCCCCCCCCACACAAGCCACCGCAACGCCCACTTTCCATTCGTTAAGGCTTCCTGGTGGTCACGCTTCTAACTCTCTCTACATTCCGAATGGTGAGAGTAAGGGATAAGGAGTAGCAATGCGACGAATTCGGGACACGTCCCAAAGGAAGAGCTCCGGCGACACCTAGGCGATCTGACTGGTGTGGCTCAAAGTGGGTGTAGCATGAAGGACCACGTTGCGGCTTCACGCACAGCATAAATTCTATTTGCTAGTCTAGTTGACTCGACATACCACAGCGCTTCCATGTTAAACCAATTAGTTTTTGGTGTAAACACCGCGCGGGTATCACTCCTTGCAGCACAGCTTCCACAGCTAGATGGATCTCTCGACCAGCAGTAAGCAGCCATTCAAAACAAACTGTAGATTCACCCCCAATCACGAGAGGTGAATGGGATCGCCGCTGCAGTAGCATGCCACTTGCTCAAAACTGTACAGGTACGAGGTTGAAGGGTAGTGATACCCGGCGCTTCACCATAGTCCATCGGGGCTGCCGCACGGCCGCCACAAGCCCAATTCAAATACCAGCGCTTTACTTTTTTACTATCCTCTCACCTCTGCTCGTTCACTGAGGGCGCTTTCCGCTGCAGACCTTAGTTTGGACGCAAGTGCTGACAGTTTAGAGGGTGCGGGCGGATATGGGAGTAGCACTTAAGGGCAGCGCCCGCGTTCATTTGATGTTCCTACGCCCTCCTTAGATATCGTAGCTTTGTCGACAAGGGTGGAGGATGTACTAATTTCGCAGCTCAAAAATACGAGAGGATGGCGCCACCCGCTTGTGAAGAGGATGCCGCCCCGCCCACCTGGCTGCCATAACTGCTTTGGCTTAGCCTTTAAAGGCTGAGCCCGCTTTCAAGAATAATGAGTTATGGAGCTCATATAATACGTGATCCAGTAGTGAAGAAAAAAGCAGAAAAAAAATCATGGAAAATGCCCTATATAGAACCCTATGCTGGCCAGGTGGGCGGGGCGGCCGACTCTTCACTAGCGAACGGCGCTATCCTTTCGCCTTTTGAGATGCAAAACTAGTACATACTGCATCCTCATAGGGAGGTATATCCATCCTCATAGGGAGGTATACGATATCCAGGGAGGGCGCGGGAACATCAAATGAATGTCTGCGCTGCCTTTAAGTATCGCTACCCTCCAGTCCTGCCTCGTACATCTTTGAGCTAAGAAAAACGCACGCCAGTGCAGCCACAGACATTTACCTCCCACATGGAAAAGATCGTATCGGAGGTGAGTGTTCGGTTTGCCTTCAGAATCACAAAAGACTCAGCTGATGTCTTTTCATCCATCGTCTTTACATTGTTGTCTACTCCCTACAGATCGTTATGTGGGCGAGTTTCAGTGCTACGACCTATTTGACGACGATAAAGGGCTGCCATGGAAAAGATGCGAACGTGATGAGATTCTTACAATGAAGCAGAGATTCTTCAAACTGGAAAGTGCGTAAGATGAAGCTGTATGTAAATCTTGTGAACAACAACGATATTGTCTTATGCTTGTTCATACTGCAGTCCCTTCCTGCTATTCGATCGTTCCGGAAGATTTTAAACGAATTGTTCAGTACATCGATGGTCTGAAATACGCTGATGAGCCAGATTACATGTCTGTTATATTTGTCTTCATATCTGATTCATAAGGAAACCTAACTGAGAGGTCTGAATGCGTCATAAAGTGCGAAAACCATCAGGACAGATTTCCAGATACCTGCGAAACTCTCTAGCAGCTATCGCCAAAGAGGCCAGGGTTGATTTTAACAAGCCGCTCGACTGGAT